ACTACTAAATATAGGTAATTCTGCTGAAAACAAATAAAATGAATATTGGAACATTACATTGACTCACTTATTTGTCTATTTCTTCAAACAGAAAAGGTTGGCAGAAAATATATTCAGACTGCTATGTTGTATATTGCATAAAGTGTGGAATGAGAGAAAAAATATATAGAATTCCATTTTGAATTTAAATTTAAATTTTTTACCGAATGTACAAAACCTAAAGCAGTGTTGTTTTTCTTAATGGGATTGGATAGTACAAGACACATTTAATTCACTGTTCATAAAAATGTAGATGGAAATCAAAAAGGAAAAGAAATTATTCCAGGAATTGAATGAAAAACTCTTTGTAGTGATATTTTTAAGACACACCTAAAACACTGACCAGTATTCTCAGAACACAGAGTAGCAGATCTAACAAAAATTGTCTGTTACTGGGAACTATTAAGAATTAGCTTTCATTTCTAGCCCTCTAATTTTTATTATATTATTGATTTCCAGATTGGTCTGGTTTTCTGGAGGAGAAGAAGCACTTGATGATCCTGATTTGAAATAACTTTCTTTTTACTTTATAACAACAGCAGTTATTATCAAGTTATCATTTTGGTTGCAATCTTCAACTTAGTTACCTGTCTGTTATCTTGGGTTAAATTGGTAAATGTATTTTTTTCAGTAAATGAAGAAATCTTTTTTAATTAATAAATTTTTCCGAAGATGCTGCAGTAACTATCAAAAGTAAAATTTTGAGGAGACCTACATTTGCTAATGTTTTATCAATTGCATTTCCATTTCTCCTACTCACCCCATTAGGTAGTTACTCCATGTAATTTATACACTGAGGATTGATTGATTTGTTTTTATGGCTTATCAACCCTTTGTGGGTTATTTGAAGCTGAAACACATTTCAGATTGTAGGATGTTACTTACAGTACCCAGTGTTCTCATGTAGTCTCTAATCTAAGTACTGACCACTGCTTATCAATTTTATGCAATAATAAGTAAGTGAAATAAAAATACTTATCAAAAATTAATAATTAACACTTCTTCATCCTATGAAATTCAAAATATATGATAAAAATACAGTTGTTTAGGTTTAATGTTTGGGTGATTTTTTTTTTTTTTTTTTTTTTTAATTTTTTAAATTGTTTTTTTAATTTCTTTTTTAGCTTATATTTTAATATCACATTCTGTAGTTTTTGGTGCTTTTCACTATGTTTTAGTTATGTTGTCCTTAACTCTAAATCAATAAATGAGTAAACAAGTAAGTAAATAATAAACAAATTACAAATGCACAGAAACACATAAACACAAATGTAATAATCAATAAATAATAAAATAACAATAAATAATGAGTAAAAAGTTAACAAACAAAACTATAAAATAGCTACAGCTAACTGCATTTGGATTCACAATTAGTTCTACTCAGTAGCCTCTACAATAATTAGAAACATAACCATTGTCACCCACCCAATAACTGTTAGGATACTGCAATAGACCTTCTTCTCATAATGCACCATTGACCAGAATATATAAATAGCTGAGCCAAAACAAACACACATGGTCTGAAGATTGTGTTTAAGTATGAAACAAACTGTTGCCACTGGGTGTTGACCTCAATGTTCACTTGTGTGTGTGTGTGTGTGTATATATATATATATATATATATATATATATACACACACACAACAGATTAAAGCTTACATTTAGGAAAATGATTAAAAATCTTTTCCCCCCTAAAAATCAATCTATCTTTTCCTGTGATCCGATTTTTTCCTATAAATAGCTTAACTTAAATTAATAAACTAGTCTTCAGTATGTCTTTGACCATGATATAAATAATACTGATTTCTTAAATTTTTGTCTTCTCAAAAAATTTATTGAGTGATAAAGTTCCTTTTGTAAATTATTTCTCTTTAAAAGTATTTTTAAAAACCAGTTTGCATTATGAAAATACACATGTGAAAAATATTTCAGGCTTAGTTGTCATTAGCTGTATTTGTGCTGATATTAGCTACTATATTTATGCTACAAACACATAATGGAGTGTAGATTTTGGCTTTTGTGACACTCTCATATACTTCACTCTATACTAACAAAATTAATTTCTTTTGTGTTGTAAAAAAACATTTTTTGTATGTATGTCGTCTGCGATAAACTTTATAACTTGTTTCTTTCAACTTAAAAGAAAAAAATTACACTCAATAATAAAATTATATAAAAGTAGAGCTGTGTTTGAAGATTATTTCTTTTTGCTTTTCACACCTTCTATTCATCTACATTTGCAACAGAAAAGTAGGATTTTGTGTCTCTTTGAAAGTTTATTCTTTATTTCTGATTCTATTTGTTAATTATGGGATGACTCTCTGGTGTAACAGTATGTGCAGCAGCCTGTGGTTTTGATTGACTGAAGGCAAAATTAATTGGAGGCCCTGAATGGAAGATGAACAGGATCTGTTATGATCTCTAATTGATAGAGATGATGCTGTAGGTCAAAGAAAAGAAAAAGCTATTTAAGATAGTTCAGAAACAGTACATTTGGTCAAGCTGCTGGATCACTTGAAGGGGCTATAGTTGCAGCAAAAAGGAAATGTAAGATAATGTGACAGTACATTCATCTGAAATCTAATTTTGTCACAATTTTTGTATATTTTGCTCTGTTTTGTGCTTTAAAACAAGAGATCCCTTGCTCATGAAGAAATAAGTAATATTTTTCTGTGCAATATTTACCTTATATTGCACCCTCAGTTTCTGTAATGTGCATTTTTCACTGACAGCCCTCCATTTTCAGCTGCACTTGAATTCCTAAGAAGTAACCTACTGAAAACATGATAATGAAGCAGGTGTTTCACTTAGCAACACAGTAGGGTTTTTTGATTCAGTGTGTCTCAACAACATGCCTAACCCAACAATAATTGTAGCATAAAGCAGAGAGGTATGATAAAATGTAACTAAAATTAAGAATCATTAATCAAAAATGAATAATAATTGACTAGGTATTTTGGAGGTACATAGATTTGTTCTAATTTTTTATAAAGGTGTTAACCAATTTTTGCATTTCGGCTTTAGATATTTCTTCTAGCAATTTATTTATCAAACATAAGCATTTTTAATATTTACCATAAGTTGCAGCAACCTGAAGATATTTAGCTGAAAATTCTGAGTTAGGCCTTTTAAGTTGACCACCAAACGTATGGTAGGCTACCAGTGGCCCAAAACCTAGGCCTACTGGTAAATGAAGTTAGGCTACAGTATACAATAACCTGTGCCAAAATTACTTAAGGTGACACCACTTACCTGTATATTGAAACTCTAACGGTAATCTCTTTCTATATGCATCTATAGCAAACAACTTACAACACACACTGGTAGGTACCATATATTGTATCGTTATAACTTAGTGAACATTTAAAATTCGTCTGATCTATTGATAAATATATTAAAGTCAACATCAACTCCTATAAAATATTAATGCTATAGGTTACACATCATAGCATTAATAGAATACTGAATTTGTGTTATTATTTTATATTAATTTCAGTGTTAATATGGCAAATATGTTCACCAAAAACAAGTTTTAGTGGCATATATTTGTGGCAACCTGCTGGAGTTATGGTAAGTGGTGTACAGTAATTGTTAGGAGTGCTGTCTCACTTGTATACCACTGGTAAACACTTGCATTTCATACCCACCATAAGTTGACCCCTAGTTTTGGAATGATTTTTTAGGCCTGAAAACTCAACGTGTACACCACAATTTATGGCAATTTTTAGAAAAGTGAATTAAAACTGATTCTCCCTTTTATATATTTAGTTTTACTCAGGAGAAATAGCAATAAACATATCACTCTAATTTCTGGGATGAGGAGTTATTATTATTTACATGCAGATTATTGTCCTGATCAACAAAGATGAGGACAATAGTCCATGTGTAAATGTGAATAATATCACTCTAAATATTTAATAAAATTCCGATATATCAATAATAAAATGATGTGAAATAAGATGCCTTAAAATCAACAGAAGAGAGAAATTAGGTACTTAGTCCAATGGTTCCTGAAGCTATTTTATCCTTGTTGAAGAATTAATCCTTGTAGAAGAATTAATAAAATTAACATTCAGAGAATTTTTATTAATTCAATTTCCTTGCAGAAATTTCTTACAAATATTTGCTTTAGTGCATCAAAATGTGATTAAAACACTTCCCTCTTATAATTTTCTATTCATGCATGTAAATTGCCTAAGAAAAAAAGTTCTTCCATTTCAAGATCTTTACCGACCCCCCCCCCAAACCATCACTACCAATCCATCCAACAAAAATTCTTATCTGATTCTTTTTGTTTCTCTCTTCCAAGTTTCTTCATTTCATTCTTCCAAAATTGTTTTTTTATTTGGTCATCTTCCATTTTCCCATTAATTACTGAATTTCATTATGGAATAAACTGTAAAATCTCTGAATTTGTTTCTGTATTATCAAATGGACCATGAATTATAGTGAAACGTTCTTCACTAGAATCTGATCCTTTGTCTTCATAAGCCTTTTTACATTGTCTATCTTCTTGAAAAGTCTTTACAAATCATTAATACCTTTCCCCCCTTTGACCTTGTTGATACCAATCAATTTTGATACAATAAAGCTTCTTGTATGACTCTTAATAAATACTATTGCAATTATCTTTATAACAATAACAATGCAGTAGTCATTTCCACAAATAATGCTGATATTACAACTGCTATTGTAACATTAATACTGTTATTATTATTATTATTGTCATTACTAGATAATAAAGTACTGTTATGGGAATTGTAATCAACACTGATCATACTAATTGACAGAATAAGTGTAATCAATAAAGATGTTGTCATTATTTGTATTAATGCCAGACTGCTTGAGATATTTATTTGTTTGTATTCTTTCTTTGTATTTTCTGAGAAAAACTTCATCAGCTTAATTTATGAGTAATGTAATTAATTTTGATTTTTTTTTTTTCTCCTTTTTATTTTCAGGCTGGTATAGAGGCTACAAATCAAAAAACAAGCAAGAAAGAGGAATTTTTCCAAAAATCTATGTTCATCTTAAGGAAGCAACAGTTACCAGTTCAGGGTAAGTTTCTACTAGGTATATATTGGGTTTGTTGGAAAAATTTTACAGCTTTTTGACAAAATCTTTTATTCATACTCTCATCATCTAAGTATTTTCCCAAACTTTCAGGTAAATTGTATATTATCATAAAAGAATGATTCTAATTTTGATTTGATGAATTCTTTAATGTATTTTTTCTTGAACTTGTTGTAACTGCTGTTCAATTAAGCCAATTGCTCACTGTGGCATTGTACAGTTTGTTCAGTTTCCAGCAATTTGTAATAGTTCCCTTAGAATCCTACCAAATGCAGGTAAAAAAACTGTAGATTCTGTTTAATATTTTAAAAGCTGTTCTCAATCTAACCAAAATTTTCTTCATTTTAGTTTCTTGTAATAAGTTGTTTCATAGCCAGTAAGAAAGTTGGTTTACTGTGTCAGATAATTGTTCTCATCTGAATCTGTCTTGCACATTTATAAAAACTCTACCATTCATCTGTGCATTGAATATTGTTACCATCTCTAGCCTGATGCTTCTGCTATGTATCTAGAGATTCTTGATAAAATCCATAGAATCTGCAATACTATAAGTCCTGACCTGGCATCTCAGCTTCAATCACTATCCCACTGCCATAGCATAGCTTCACTGTACCTTGAAATATTTTCATAGTAATTGTTCTCATAAGCTTTACCTCAACTTAATGAATTTAAGTGTAATACTAGATTGGCAGCTAAGTCTCGTCACTTTTTACTATTGTAATTCTAAGTGTAATTCAATTATTCAAGTTCTATTTCAATGGATTCTTCTCTTGCTTGTGGGTCTCTCTTCCAGCTTCTTGCTTTCCTTTCAAATATGATCTTCAAAAATGTAAATGCAATGTCATCCTGTTCTTTTTATTGTCATTTCTCCACAGTAACTATTTTGCAGTGTCTTTCACTCTCAGTAACTCCCTGTCTTAGTGCCTTGCTTAGAGCAAAGTTTTTTTTTCTTTTTTAAATCTAAAAACATTTTTTTTTTTTAAATTTCAATCTCAACAAGAAAGTCTAGTGTTTGTTGACCAATGTTATTTTTCATAACCATTTTCCTTGTTTCCGAATATTTTCCAAGTTTAGTAGACAGTATTTCAATCAATTGATTAAATAGTAAACAGCTAAGGGAACATCAAAGACCCATTCAAGACTTCCCTTTTGTGAAAGATGATATTGGGAACTTTTGCAGCAGCTTCAGATGTTCCATACTTCTGGAAGTAATCAAATTTATAAAAGTTGTTTAACTAAAGGTACTTTGTAAATATTACTTTAATTTTTTAAATTTCCCCAATTACTTATAGTTTTTAATATTTACTCAGCTTAATAAGTAAACGAAAGAGAAAAAACATTGGATTAGGAAGCATGTCTTACAGCAATCTTCTAAGTTTAGAGAGTGTATTTTGACAGTCTTGAAAATCAGCATTAGTTAAGTAGGTTTTTTTTTTTTTTTTTTTTTCAAATTAGTAAAAAAAAAAAACATGATGAAAAAAGAACATGATTAAAAAGGATGTCTGATTTGGATGCAGGGAATTTCATTTCTCTCTTTAGAGGAAAATACTAAATAAGGATTTCTGTTTGAATTTCTGTGGTGAGGCATGATCATTATTTACATGTGGACTATTGCCATCATCTTAGAAGGAGGAGACTAGTCTGCATGTAAATAAGGATTGTTTTGCAGTATCTGAAGATTGTATGGACATCAGTCTATTTCTGTTATCTTTCCTATATTAATAAAATTGGTTTTATATATTTACATGTGTTTCAGTATCTGTCTATATTTCTGAGATGAGGTATTATATACACTTTACATTATTTGGACTATTGTCCTCATCTTTGTTGCCATATTTATCACAATGTTTCGGCCATTGTATGCTCCGGCCTTCTTCAAGTGGAATGTCGAACTGAACCCTTTATTTTGCAGGTTGGGGTAGACTATTCTAGTTCCACGTGCCATGTCTAATGGATGTCACTTATTAGTTATCTGCAGTTAATTCACCTCTCCAATTTCTCCACTGCCTTAACCAGGTATTGAACTCAAAACTCTTTGGGTCCTGTCACTGGATCTAACCACCGTTTTTATCCACTGTGCCATATGTCCTTAAGGAAGAAGGCCAGTGTGTACAACAGCCAAAACATTGTGATAAATGTGGCAACAAAGATGAGGACAATAGTCTGAATAATGTAAATAGTTTACATGTGTTTATCATGTAAACATGTGTACTGAAACAATTACAATACCATTTTTACTTTTATACTAATATTAATTAATGAAGTCATGTCAAAGTAAATTCAGAATGCTGTTACATTACAAAATCAAACTAATAAAAACAAGTTTAGTTTCTCTTAGTGTTCTGCATCTCTTCAGGATGAGGACACTGATTACTCTTCACAGCTTCCTGTCTTTTGTTGATCTCAGCAATACTTTATTCATTATGATCCCTTTTTCTTTTTGTGGTACTTGATCTACCATTCATTTGCACAAAATTGTCAACTAGGTCATTGCTTTCCTTTGCTTCACTTGTCATTGTGTCCTGTGAGTATTAAATTCATCATGCCTTCTTTTCTCATATCTCACAATTTCTGCTGTTTTTTTTAATTATGAGTAGTTTTTTAGAACTTCATTTGTTGCACTCTGTCCATGATATTTGCAACATTTGTCAGTAGAACCACATCTTGACTGCTTCAATTCTTTTGTTTTCCCTTCTTTTTTTTTATTTAGTTGTTTTTCCTTTTTTTTTTTTTTTTTTTTTTTTTGGAGGAAAAATGCCTTCACTCTAATAAAGAAGGGTTGACTTCACATAGTCATCTCATACTATTTTCTTCCTTTCTGATGTTGTTTTCCTATCCATTAGTACTTTACTCAAGATCTAAAAAGTGTCTTTTACTATGCAACTTAAAAATTCTGTGCCAGTTTGCATTATCAGGGAATTTCTGTATTTATTTTATTAATGATGGCCCCACTGTGTAACTCACATTTTAAGATACCTGTTTTGCTTATCACCATACCTTTATCTTTCTAATTAATAGTCCTTTCTACTACTTTCTTTATCTTGTTTTCTTTCTGAATCTGCTATGAACATGGTGAAATCTGCATAGAATATGTTGTTAAGGTGATATCTGACAATATCTCCAATCATAGTTTCTATTTCTCTTAGAATCATCTTGTTACACAGATTAAATAATTCCAATAAAACACATCCTGTACTTGTCAGTCTTCTGTTTTGGTGTATTTGATTAATTCATTATATACATCAAAGCCATTTGATCCAAACACAGTTTGCAGATTATTCCAGTAGCCTGTGTTGATTGAACATTTTTTTTAACATTTCAGGATATTAGCATTTATAAAAATACATTTCTTTAGAATATGTTTATCTTTTTGTGTATGTAATTGGGAAATGTGCATTTTTTTAAAAACTTCAAATTGTTATATTTTTAATTTACTCTAAACAAATTCATGGAATGGGTCAAATCTGTAAAGTTAGAAAATTTTGAATTATAAGAATCTGACAATGTAATTTATATGAAAATGAAGGAAAATCTGAATAAAAATTTTATTACAAAAAATCAAATGGAATCAATCATGGCATATTTGAAGACATTGTGTGGTACAATGCCTTTACATTGTAGTTTGTGAAGGATTTTGTATGAAGAGGAATTTCCTGGGGGATTTGGGTAGAAAGTAAGTCTGAGTAAGTGGAGAAGAAAAAAAAAAAAAAAACTCCTGCTGCTGGCTGGTATGTATTATTTAACCTATTTTTTTTTTGTGTTATAATTGGCTAATTTATCTTAAGTTTGTGAATATACCAGTAAAGATTTTCCACACAGATAATAAAATTCCAAATAATAATGTAAAAATAAGTAACATCTTTATCTAAAAAATGAATACAAAATAGTTGATGAAATGTCAAGAAATTTCCTGTTGACAGCATTCATTTTACTTTCGTGATGTCAAGAGGTGGCATTACATTTTTGATGCTTCTGCTGTTCATTGTCTCATGTGGCAGCCGTCTCCTTTGTTGACTTTTATTTTTTTTTTTTTTTTTTTATTGAAGATTAATTTGTTCTGCATAAAAGGAATTTTAATTTTTGAAAGCTATTATTCTGTCAGGAAATTTGAGGTTGTGCTGAAAAATTCTCAGCCTCATCAAAAGAAAATTGTTGGTTTGTTTAGTCAGATTTTAGAAAATAGGTTAGGACAATAACTTTTCAGCACCTACTTATACTATAAATTTTGTGATTGATCACTGAAGGTAAATATTTTCTGTTGAACATTCCTCTATGGTATCAAGACTTTATGAATTTAAGTGCAGTAATAGATTGGCAACAAGGTCCCTAACTAAGTTTTATGCTAACGGTTTCTTTTCTCACATTTCTTGTTTGTAGAACTATCTTCTGACTTCTTACTTCCCAATTAACTTGATCTTTAAAAATTTAAATGCAATATCAATCATTATCTTTCTTTTATTGTTCTCCCTCCTTAATAATGTTTTTTTTTTTTCTCGTATTCTCTCATACCTAGTAACCTCTTGTATCTTAGTGACTTTATTGCCTTGCTTGGGATGAAAGGATTAAAAAAAACTGCTCAGACTGTGTTTTTATATATATTTTTTCACTAATATTTGCTTTGTACATTATTCAAATTACTGAACAGATTAATTTTAATCTTTTTCTTTCTAAGTAAAATTGTATGGTCAAGTGTAGGTTCATTATCTCAATTGCCAAATATAATGGGTAGATACAGGGCTACATATATATAATGGGTAGATACAGAATTAATTAACCTCTTTAATTGGTTCTTTTTTTTTTTAATATTTAATTCCCATACTCATTAACTACAGTTAAGCTTTTTCTTACATTCTTCTCAGCTTTTTAACATAAAACTGTGACTTTTGTACATTTCACTGTTAATTGAACACTCTCAAACCTCCTTGGAGCTTTCTCACCTCTATGTGAGTGGTTCACCATATCACAAAATTTTAGAAATGTAACTG